GTGTTCTCCACAGTGGCTGGACCAATTTACATTCCTAAGTACTTTTACTTTTTTCCAACATATATAAGTATTATTGGGTGAGAGGATTGGATTAATCCTCTTTGATTTTTGTTTTTCCAGATGATTCTCACTTCTTCCTACCTAAAACTCCGAGCTCTGAATCTCATGTCATTTAGCTACACCACCTACTATCCTTTGCTGTTGTTATAATCTAAATTCCAGGTCTTTCTACCTGTTCAGTTTCCACTTAATAAAACTCTCCATAAGACAATTCTTACCTTAATTTCTTTCTTTTCCCATATTTTAATTTTCAGTGATTTAATCCTTCCAACAACCTGGCCTCTAAATTCCTTGATTTATCTTGTCTTCAAGGACTTTTTTTTTTTTTTTGGCACAATGTCATGCAACCCATCTTCCCATGCAAGTTCTCTCTCATTAGCTGGACACCTCCATCCAATGGTATGCTAGAGGCAGCTCATCAGCTGGAGCCAACATGGGCACCTCTTTTTAACGCTGAGTACAGTGGCTTCACACTGGTAGACCGAAATTAGCATGGTAAAAATATCCCACCACATAAAGAGGCAATTGTTACAACTCAAGCCTTCTTCTATCTCCAACACAAAAAGAGTCAGTTATTAAACATTTCCCAACACACACTACTTCCTTCCTTCTACCCAAACTGGCCAAGGTTTTTCATGTTTTCTACCAGGAGCATTTGACAGAGCTGTTCATGCCCCTAGCTTTGAAACTTTTTCATCACTTAGCTTCTAAAATATCATAATTCCTTGATCGTTTTCATTTTTCACTTACTTCTCTTTTTCAGTTTCTTAGCTGATTTAGCCTGTGCTGCCCAAGCTCAATCTTTTTATGTCTCAGCACTCAATTCCTGCTCCTCATCTCTTCTCTATTTTCATTCCATTTGTATTCTTACCCAGTTTCCTGGTTTTTGCATGTCTTTTATATTCAAATTGTTTATTTTCTTTCATACATCTCTTCTAAATTCTGCGTTCCTATATACAACTGTTTTCTCAAGTTCATCATTTGCATGTCTAAAGCTCAACATTTTCAGGACAGAACATTTTACCTTTTCTCTAAACCTACCAACTTCCCTGTCTCCTGTATAGTAATTTCTCCTTCTCATTGCATATGTTGAAAATTTTAGAATCATCCAAGATCCTTTCCTTCTCTCTTATCTCTCATAGAATCCATCATTATATTTTATTGGAAGCATGTTTGATATACATAAGTATATTCAGAATTGAATCATTTTTATCACTTCTACTGTCAACTCATTAAGCTATCATTATTTCTTGTTTGGATTACTGCAGTAATTTCCTAATTTTCTCACTGCTTTCATACTTGCTCCTCTACAGTCTTCTCAACATAAGAACCAAAATATTTCTTCAAAAGTATAAGTTGAAACATACTACCTCTCTGGTTGAAAACCTGTGATGGCTACATACTTCATGCTGAGTGAATAGCCAAGTCTTTACAATGGCATATGGATTTTTCACTATGGCCCTATTACTTTTATGCCCCTTTTCCTACTCTTCTATCCCATTCTCACTTCAGCCACACTTGCTTTTTAGTTGTGCTTCCCAGAAATTATTATAAATAAGAGCTTTGATTTGGGTAGTCCCTCTATCTGAAGTGCTCATCCTTCATGTTATTATATGAATGTGTGTGTTCTTCCAAAATTCATAGGACCTCCAGGGTGATGATATTAGGAGGTAGGACTTTTGGGGAGGTAATTAGGCCATGAGAGCAGAGTTCTCATGAGTGGGATTAGTGCCCCTTTAAAATAGGATCCAAGGCACACAGTTAAATGCTGCACAAAAAAGTCAGATCTCACATGGCCAGCCAGGGTTCAAGTCCCAGTCCCAGCAGCTTGAAAAACATGCCGGATATATGCATACACCCAGGAACCTGATGGAATGAAGGACTGGATGAATAAAAGACTGTATTGTGTCCATGCCCAGTTGTGGTATGCTTACTCTCTCTCTCAAAAATTAATAATTAATGAAGTAAAGAGGTTCAAGGGAATGCTCCTGTGCTTTTAATCATGTGGAGAAACAAGCTAGAAGGTACCACCTCTGCACAGGAAAGTAGGTCCTTACCAGACATCAAATCTGCCAGGCCCCAATCTTCTTAATCTCTAGAACTATGAGAAATAAATTTCAGATGGTCCGAGCTACCCAATTTACAGTAATTAGATATAGCAGCCTGGATGGGCTAACATACCCCAGCTTTCCACACTGCTAATTCCCTCATCTCCTTTGAGTCTTATCTGAAGTGTCACCATCTCACTGAGGCTTAACCTAACCTCTCTAACCCAAAGTATAGCCTATTCCCCAGCTTGCCTAATCAATGTCCCTACTCTTATATTGCAAATTGTTCATAGTTTCTAATCCTTCTAGCACAATTTAAATAAGTTGCCTATTTGCTCTGCTTATTGTTTGTATACCTTCCACTAGAATATAATCTTAATGAAAATAAAAGTCTTTGTTCATTGATATATCCTATGTACATAGAGCTTACAGGGCAAATAGTAGTTGCTCAATAAATACTGTTACAATGGATCAATGAGCACAAAGGTTGCTTTGATTTTCCTGGTATAGGCAACACCTTGGATACTAAATATAAAATATAACAAATATATTAATAATTTACATAAAAACAATTACTTTGTAAATTTGAACTTTTTGTAAATAAGAAACCTTTACCCAATATCTTAAAACACTTTAAATGTGTCTGATGTTTAATGAATGTGTAAGAACATTCATAATCATTGTCCTATTTGAGTCTCATAATATTTTCGTTAGGTTAAAATATCATTGTTAATATTTTTAAATTTAGGAAACTGATTCAGAAAGATTAACTGAGTTGCTCATTGTCCTGAGGCCATAAGGTTCAGAGAACAAAATGAAATTCCTAATCTTTTGATCTCATTTTATCCTTCTAAATTTATCTTTTTATGGCAATGGCATGATCCTGAAAATAATGAGGTAAACCATGAGAAATGTAATAAATTGTATTAAAATGCACTGTAACAATTGTACCTGACTCCAGTGAAGCATATTTTGAACAGATGTCCCTGCTGGGTTGTGTGAAATATACACATCCAAACGACTCTGAGGGTTAAAAAAGCATGTGCATACTTAGTTCAATCATTAACAGCATATATGACATTTATTAAAGTAAATTATTTGAGAAACTTGCAAGTTCATTTTTATGATTAACAGTATAAGTAATATTAAAAATAAATCGACTTATATGTTAATTAAATACACAAATACATTTATACACAAACACACATATACAGTGTATTGCCATTGTGTGGGCTGGACAAAAATCCTCTCCTCAAGAAGAAGCCCTGGGGAACAGCTACTGCTGAAGGCCTGGCCTTGCCTCTGCTGCCCTTGGTGACTCAGGTGCCAGGACTCAGCATCCAGAGACTGTGGTATTTGCTCAGGAGAGGGATAGCCCTGGGCACCGCTGGAACTGCGAGCCAGAGGCTGAGCAGGCTGAGGAACACCAGGAAGCCAGAAGAGCCTGCAGGAGGCCTAGAGAGGCTGCCTGGGTAGTGCTGGCTGCAGAAGCTAAGGTGGGAGAGGCACAAAAGGGAGGGGAGCAAGTGCTGAACCATCCTCTTGTTGGAGGAGAAGGATCAAGACCACTGAGTAGAAATATGCACCCCAGTGTCTCTTTGGGAAGAACCACTAATACATGCCTCTGAAATGAGAGGAACCTGATGAAGTACAAGAAAAAGATGGTAGGAACTTCTGGAACATGTAATTCCTACCTGGAAATGTAAAAGGGAGTCAACTGAAGCCAGTGGGGCTCCAGAGGTGCTCTCTACTTCTTCTCCCCTCAACAGACTCCCCAGGGTAGAAAACAAGGGAAACCCTTCTCTTAAACTCTGAATCCCAGATTCCCATTGCAGATTTTAGCTCTTCCCACCCACAGAAGACTGAAACTGCCCTGCGTTATCATATGTCTTAGAAAAGTGCACCAGACAACATCTCCAGAAGAAACTTCTGACCTCCCACCTCAAGCCGCATGAGCTCTGCACAGAACTGGGTGCCAAGAGCAGGTTGAACTTTTTTTACCATCAACACTCCACAATTCTGTGGAAACAGGATGCAAGAGAGTACTGCCATCCCAATACAGTTTGAGGAATGTGGTCACTAACCCCTGCCTGGCAGAAAGGACAGACCTGCACTCCCCCTTCCTTCAGACTAGTCCAAGAAAATGACCACTTGCTCCAATTTACACCATCCACAGTGCAGTTCTTCTGGCTCTGCCTAAACTACCACATACAAGCTATGCACATGCTGCTCTGATCTGAAAAATACAAGTGGCTTCCAGCCCCTTCCAGACTGGAAAGGACTGGGACACACTTGGAACCTGGAGCAGCACAGAATCCACTCCGAAAATTAGGAAAAAGTGAGTTATCTAACACAATAATACTAGTTATCCAACACAATAATGAAAGAGAACAAGATCAGAGGACTTATATACTATCCAACTTCAAGACTTACTATAAAATTATAGTCATCAAGACAGTGTGGTAGTGGCAAAAGAATAGGCAAACAGATGGATGAAACAGAATAAGGAGCTAAGAAATACGTCCACATGAGCACTGTCACGTGATCGTTGACAGAGGGGCAAAAGTAATAAAATGTTAAACAATGATAGTCTCTTTATTCTTTTGAACATGTCTTTCGCAGAGTGAAAGTTCTTTTTTTTTTTTTTAACGTTTCTTGTCATAAGGCATGTATGTGCACTTGCTAGAGAAAGACAGAGATAGACAATGAGAGGGAAAGTGAGACTCACCCCCCAAGGGATGGTTACACTGCAATTTCTCTCCTCCATTCTCCTCTAGAGATTGTGAGTAAACACACACATGCTCCTGGAGTGATTTTCAAGCCGCTTGGGTTCAGAACTTAAACTGTGGTCAGCCATGTGGGAGTCCAGTGCCTTAGCCACTAATACACCACCTACTGGCTCCTAGAAGTTCTTAATTTTAACAAAGACTCCTAACAGGCTCAAGAGAAACTATACTATCAATCTTATTATTCCCAAATATACTATGTGTGAAAATTTTCCTCTTCCACCATTCTGCAATTCTAGATAATTTAGGAGATAGCCATATTACCTATGACACTGTCAACTTCTCTTCCATCAGGTACACTCACAAATTTGAAATCTAGGAAGCCAGAGTATAAGCTTTTATAACAACCCACAGAAAAAGAATTCTTAGAGATATCACAATATAATTACAAAAAAACCCCTTGCATTGACTAAATATACTACTCGAAACAAAATGAATAGATAAAACAAGCAAGAAAAAGATCACATTTATTGTTCTTCTATGCATTTCATAGTAAAAGCAAAACATTAGATAGAAGAAAAAGGAGGAAGAAATATGAAATTAGCCTTTTTTATTTCTATGATAGAGGGTACATAGGTCACAATTTTAGGGGCCAATAATTACACATATGAGTTTATGTCTTATATTGTGAAATATTCTTTTCATATTTATATGATTGCCTATATAGTTCCCTGAGGATGAGAAAAGGCCTTCTTATGGTTGAATAAAATCAACATGTCTTTGTGGCATGAAAATGTTTGGAAATTAAGAGAATTTTTGTTTGTTTGCGGTTGTAAATTGTTTCTTTTAAGAAGCTCTTAAAAGGCCAACCACTAGTCCTAATGCCACAAATTGCTTCTGCTAAATATAAATTTTTAACTTAATGTGATGAAAAAGTCTTAGAATGAATGCCTACATCTTTATAAGAATCTATCCATAATCTATCTAAAGGGTCTCAGTAGCTTGAACACAAGTTTCCCACTCCAGGAGTATTGATGAATACTAGAATTTTCAAGATAACTGGTAGGTACTATTCTAATTATGGAAGGATCAACAGGAAAGGGAAAGGTGTTAGAAACAAGGATATATGAAGAAGAGTTATGGTAAACAAGTGAGTAGAAGAGGGTCTAATATAAGTGTCAAGAAACTAAAACCCAATAGCAAAGGCCAAAAATGATACCATCATAACAGCTGTTTTTAAATCTTTATAGAGGGCAACACAAATATGGAAGTGAACTAATCTCAACATGGTAATGAAGATCAGTTTCACAAGATTGGTGTAGTCATAAAATAAGATATGAAAAAAAATTAACTACTAATATACTAGTAGAATTTAACTACTACTGTGAACAGCAGATGGTGTAATGGATACATTACTAGATTCCCACACAGTCAGCAGTGGTTTGAGTCCCAGACCTGATGCCTTAAAACTCCCACTGAGCTCATGTTTGCGCATGCTCAATATCCCAAGAGGAGAATGGAGGTGGAGGGAGGCAGCCTGGTCACCCTCTCTGGGGGTAATTTTTTGCTTTCTGTCTTTCTGTCTCTCCAGTGAGTACACATACCCTGTAACAAAAATCTCTTCCTCTAAAAAAAGAAGAATTTAACTACTAGCAGATGAATCACAATACAAAAACAAAGACAAAACACTTGAGGCATAACATAAATGCTATTAAATGCTGCTTTCCAAAGATTGACAAAAATACATTTCGAATACAGCATGTTCTCACCATATTTAAGTTTTTCAGGTCATATCCAAACATCATAAACAAGATATCAAGGCAAATCTTATGAAAAATCTGTAGTGGACACAACTTTGAACCAATGAATTTGTTAAATGCTGTTTTAGGTAAGAAGTCTTTGTTGCCAGAAAATACCTGTAAGATAAATTTACTTTATTCACATTTGAAACACTACAATAATTTTTCGAGAAATGATGTGGTAAGTTCACTATATATACAACGCAATTAATTCTAAAAATACATTAAGGATAAAAACTAAGAAGCAGGATGTAGAGATGTTTTGACCACTGGATTTCCTTACACAATATGGTATCTGAAGGTATATTAAGTAAAATTCTATCCTCTGTATTAACAAATGTAAGAATCCTGTGTAATAAAACTAAAAATCTTCATTCATACACATAGCTGTGTAAACATAGCCAAGACCTCTTATTTTGAAAGCACAGTTTCATTGCCACTTCAGGTCATCAACTACACAAAAGAGAGGCAGAACATACCTTGATAATTGACTTTGACTTGTATGCCACTTTAATTAGAGGGCTTTTTGAGTACTTAATGGAAAAAACTGGTGCTAAGGCAAAAAATATTTTGATTCTTTCAGCTATTTTCGGCATGGTGGAAAATGCTATGAAAGCTGAAAGAAAACAAGGCGTAAATTAGTAAAGTATACTTAAGCAATAATTAGCATGTAAGAAATAAAATACTGTGGAGAATAAGAGTAAACTGAAAAATAATGTCTGAACAATTTGTATTTGCTTATTCATTTCTGAGTTCATTTATCACACATTTTTTTTGATCACCCAGTATGTGGCATTATATTGATCATAACATAATATCAAGAATCTGGATTTTAAAAATGTACAAACCATAAAGGCTGATAATTTGGCAATAAATTAGTCTTACAACACCATAGAGCAAAAATCAGGAACAATACTGAACATTTGTGTAACTGTAATGGTGAAAATAAGATAAACAAAGTTTTCAGATAAATGAATTTTACACTCTAGGTAAGAGACTATGTGGCAAATTGTTTCACTGTTCACTGTTAATATATACAAAAACTTTCCTGCTATAAATACTACCAACATTCGTTTATGTTAATAGTAATTGGTGTGAAAGTAGCCATTTTTCCTCTTTTTACTGGCTATTCAAGCTATGTACTTCCATATCTCCATTCTGATTGGCTATTTTTCTAGCTGGGTTCTGGGAAGTTAAATAACCAAATAATTGTATTTCATATTATAACAATGAACTCTAGCATATCATCCATTTTTTCTTATTACTAAGTTTTCCGGCATCTCTTCATTCTAGATAGTTTAACAGCGAATGAGAATTTCGACTAAAAGTTATATACTTGGCTAATAAATGTCAGAAAAAAGATCTATGAACAATGGGATTACATTATTACTCAACATGCTTTCTCTAGTAGAAAGTGAATTATTCCTATAAGAAAAGTACACTTTTCAGCCAGGTTAATAAGAAAATACTTCAATATTAACTTTTTTTAAAAAATGCACTTTTCTAGCTTCAAAGCAGAAAAAATAGAGCAAGGACATATATAGTAAGAGAATTATGTTAGGTTTCAAGGAATTTATTTCTGAAAGTAAGTTTTTATGCATTAGTTAGAGGCACAGAATTCTGAGGAGATAAAAGTTCTTTTGTAGTCATCTATAAATATAAGAAGACTTTCATAATTTTTGTACATTTTTTAAACTTACTCTGTCTTAAACACAAAAATCATTAATAGCCTTTTCAAGTCTGTCTCCCTTAAGCCATTTGTTACATTTTTAAAAGAAAGAATGTGAAAGTTCTATTTGTAGAACACATGATAGTTAGGATCTCAGTTTGATCTGGGGCATTCAATTTTTATACAATTTTAAACAAACAAAAATACAAACAACCTTGTATTTTCAATCATTTCTTTGTGACTGGAGAAAATCTATATGGAACGAAAACAGCATGTAAGTTTCCAAGATATGCTATTTTACTATGGTTGTCTTGCAGTTTTGTCATGTTTTATTTATAGACATAGAAACTTATCTACCATAAGAGGTGTATTTACAACCTTGAAACTTTAAGTGAGAGTGCTGGGTGTGTGTGCATGCGTGCTCAAAATCCCAGGAGATGGGATTGTGGTATGGCTAGCCCCCTGGGAAGTGATTCTCACTTTCCCTCTCACTATCTCACCCTATGGCAAAAATATTAAAAAAAAAAAAGTGAGAGATATTAGCAATGATTTTTCTTGGCATACCAATAGTAGTGCCCTGCGAATGGCCTACATAAAATATTTCCTCTTGTCCAGTTTGCTTCACAATGAAATCAATGGAGGCAGGAAGGTCATATTTAGCCATCTCATCAAAACTACAAAAAAAATAAATAAAAGGAAAACAAGAGTGATAATTCCTATTTATGGTACATTAATATTTGGAGATAATGAAAAGTAAATAAATAAAATCTCTGAGTATTATCAACAAATTATATGGAATGATGTACCTACTGAATAGAGATTTTGTGGGGAACCCAAAGTCAAAGAAATAAAATATCAATAAGGAAGTCTTACAAAAAGATTGTTCACATATTCTAAACACAGCATAGTAGACAAAATATATGTTATAGAATGAAAGAGTAATTAAAGAAAGAATGAGGTTAGTCAATAAAGGACTAAGTAAGAGATAAATGCTACTGCTAAAAAGTGAGAAACAAGCTCAAACTCAAACAAGCAATCTTTAATCAAAATGCACATACATTTTATTGGCCTATGGAAAGTCCTTACATGAGAAAATAATTTTATTTCATTCAAAAAGGAAAAACTGGTCAATATACTTATAAAACAGTGCTTCATGTTATTTGTACCTGAAAGCCCAGAATTCTTTGGAGTTTGTTTTTAGGTACACATGTTTCTTGGACCAGGTGTTTCCTCTGCTGTTCCCCATCCATACATCATACCCAGCATCTGCCAGAATGAAGCCCAGGCTATTGTTGGGAAGGTTGGAAACCCAGCTGCTGGCAGACGTAAGCAAACCATGCTGCAAGTATACAACAATCCTTTGAGCTGGAAAAAACAATGCAGTAAAAAACAAACTTGTATCTAACATGAAAATCTCTTATCCCAAATACATTACTCATTTTTAATCCCATTGTATGTCAGAGCTATTTAATATGGTTCCCTAACAGATTTCTTTCCAAAAACCAAGTGGGCAATTAGGTCATGTCCCATTTGAACACATACATTTTAGGGATATAAAATAACCAAATATCTAATAGTATTTGGGTACTCACATATTTAAAATAACATACTACATAAGAAATTGTATAGTTTTTCTGCTTTTACATCTTATAAACTAATTTTAAAGTCATACTTTTCACAGACATATCAGTGTCATTATTATTAGAGCTACTGTCTTAATAACCTGAGTCTCCAGAACCCTAATTCATGTTTTTAAGGTTTTTGAGAAATGACGATTTCAATTAATTAATTATTTATTTATTTAATTTTTTTGGGAGAGGTTTTTACTTGCCAGAAAGACAGAGAGAGACAGAAAGACAGAAAGCGAGAAATCATCCTCCAGGGGGGATGGCCACGCTGTAATCCCTCCTCCACTCTATTCTTGGGATCTTGGGCACACATGCATACGCGCCTGGCATGAATTTAAGCCACCAGGTCCGGGACTCGAACTGAGGTCAACTACATGGGAGTCCAGTGACATAGCCATTATGCCAACTGCTGGTCCTGAGAAGTTACACTTAAAACAAGAAATAGATTTGCAACAGGATCTCACTATGTTGCTCCGTCTGTCCTCACATTTACAATCTTTCTGACTTAGTCTCCCAAGTAGCTATAATTAGAGGCATGTACCACCACACCCAGCTCAAGAAGTGACACCTTTTGACTATAATTTTGGCTTCATTGGAGTGCCCACACTAGAACAGGAGAGAGAGAAACCCATGATTTGACTAAGTGGCACAAAGGTACAAAGGCTGACCCATTTGTTTCAAGATTAGACTGACTCTGTTGTGCATCATGTTCTCTAGCAGCCAGAGGCAAAGGGAAAAAGCTACAATTCAGTTGAGATCACATTCTTGCTTAACTTCTCCCTTTACTGTCTTCTACTTCCTCAATCACTTTTCTCTTGCTATTCCATCAATTGTGTGCACCTAAATCCCTATCACCGGCTCTATTTCCAGGAAACTTCACATAATTATTACCGAAAGTGATCAAGGAAGCAGATACTTAAAGACGGGATTATGGAGTTGGGTTACTTGCTGGGTGGTTGGCAATGAGGATCACATCACTGGCTGTGGGCGAAGTGCTAGAAAACCTTTTGTCTTGTAGCACTCCTGTGGCTAAAATATGCACCAGTAGAGAACTAGAATGTGATCCGGGAAAGGGATGGCTGCCTTTTCAATTATCTGACAGTAGAGAACCACAGGAGAAGTATGAGGTCTGTGAAATCAGGTGGCTATTTCTGAATATCAGTGATGTTTGAAAAAGAAAGCAACAAACTCAGGGAAATCAATCACCAATTCAAAGCAAAGTGTGAAAGTCATAAAGCCTTTTAGGCAGCATCTAAATACCCTCATCTCTTATAGCCAAATGGAAAAAATAAGTTAAAAACTTTGGTCATGAACTAAGTATAAAAATTTCAGAAAGATTAAATTCTTAGCACTGGAGAGAATTCGTGCTAATATTCAGGGCCCTGACAGGGAAGAAGATGGACTCTGAGAATTGAGATGTGAATTTCTGGGTAAAGCTTCAGAAACTTGAATCCCAGATGTTTCTGAACTGACTGAGTCCTGGAAGAGACCCACTCTTCTTCATTACAGGATAATTCCCCCTGACTCAAATATCTTGTAGGACAAGGACTTCCCTCCTCAAGATCCACCCATGTCTCTTCCTGGATAATCATTATTAAGTTCTAGAATGGCTTGACTGAAAACGTGGTGGATCTACTGAGAGACGATGTTATATACTAATGGAGTGGCAACATCTGGCTAATAGGTAATAGCAGGAACTGGGAGAAGCATGTCTAGGATGAAACCTGAGGGTATAAACCCAAAAGGGGATACATACGTACATACAAATGAGGGAGTCTTCAAAAACTTCTTGATGTGAATTATGAAAAACTATGCATTAATTTTTTTAAAAAAAATTGTGCCAAAATAAACTCATACTTCAATCTCACTTTTCCATAAACTTTTTGATGTACTCTCAAATGTATAAATTCCCCTTATCCCTGTCTCATAAAAGAGAGCTTGTTCACAAACTGTAAATGGTTCTAGAGGTCAGTTCTTAGTCTCTGTTGAGATCTGGATGTGTAGAAAAATTTCTAGGGACCAGCAGTTAGCATAATGGCTATGTTGCTGAACTCCCATGTAGTGGACCGCGGTTCAAGTCCCGGACCCAGCTGCTTAAACTCATGCCGGGTGCGTGTGCATACATGCCCAAGATCCCAAGAGGAGAATGGAGGAGAGGGGACTGCAGCATGGCCATCCCCCCTGGGGGGTGATTTCTCACTTTCTGTCTCTCTGTCTTTCTAGCGAGCACACATGCCCTGTAGCAAAAACCTCTCCAAAAAAAGGAAAAAAAAATGAATTGGTGATCTATGTGTGTCTCTTTCTGGATTCTTCCAATGACTCCATTTATCTATCTGTTTATATTGATTCTAATACACACTATATTGGGTTACTGTAGCTTTATAAAATAAGACTATAAGTCAGATAGATAAATTCATCAACTTTACTCAAAGTTTTCATCCTTTTCAAAGTTGTTCTGGCTATTTTAATCCTTTCTATTTCCTTTTGAATTTTAGAATCAGCTTGTTTATTTCTATAAAAATGCTTGCTGACATTTAAATTGGGGTTATCTTGGGTCTACAAATCAATTGGCGAGACCCTCGCCCGTAAAAAAAAACCCCCCCAAAAAAAAAAAAAAAAAAAAAAAAAAAAAAACTTCTAAGTTGCAACAGTAGATTGTGAAGGAATGGATAAAAAAGATTAGAAGTGTAAGAATGGTAAGTCAATCTACTAATAAAAGCAGAACACCCACTGACTGGTTACTATGCTTTGAGAGGGACTGAAGGATACTCTTTTAACCAGTTTGAAAAATATACACTTGACAGGAAGATACCTGAATTTAAAAGAAAAGCATAATTTAAAAGATCAGAAGTGAAAAATTGCAGCTTCCATTTTGGGATGTATAATAGTAAGAAGTGCCTCCAGTTTGGGATAAAGAAAGAAGAGTCACTCCCACTCTTAAAATTAGAAAAGACTAAACTGAGCTCAAATTCATGGCATTTAAAAATCTCATCACAAAGCACAAATGTGGCCCAAAATTTGAGGAGAGACAGGTACTTCTAAGGCGAGAGAAAGACATGAGCCTTTCTTCACTGGTGGAGACACACCAACATAGCTCATGTAGACTAACTGCAAAAATACTGAAGGCTCACAGGACAATGTGAAGCTCTTGGGTGCTGTGGAAATTGGGGAAGTCCATGCCCTCTTGCAAGCTATTTACTATGAATCCTACCGAGTTATTTACAGGAAAAATTGGTAAGGGTCTTATGAAATTGTCCATTGTAATCTAGATCTGTGAGGGTGAACAGCAGTCATATAAGAGAAGCAAGCAATTCTACTCCACTTCTTGCCCTATCTGTGTCCAAAACATCATTCAATCTGTGGATGGGAGGGAAACTAGTGGAGTATCACATTCTCTTCTTGAGGCATGCAGGAAGATAGATGAGATGTTAACTGTTTATTTTTACTCTTAAGTTTCTTTTCTTATCCTAAATTCACTGAGAAGAAATGGAAATGTTTAGAACTTTAGACCCCAGGCAATCACCAATCTATTGTAAATTGAAAATTACCTGAATTGTTATTATTGTTTGTCTTCCCATAAGGAATTCTGTAAAGGCCAAGAATATAACCATCTTCAGTTACAACATTATACTCTTCATTGGGATAGCCCCAGTAGGAAATAATTTGACTCTGGATAAAGAAAAAGCAAACCTTTTATCATAAAACTGTTAGTTGACTGAGTTGGTTTGCCACTTCTAACCCACTATTTAACGATGAACCTTTATATTTTCTCTCAACTGTAGGCCTACCTAGTTTTGTCTTGATTAACTCACTGATTCATTCAAGTAATAAATATTTATATAATACCTACAAAACACTAATCATATATGAGGGATATTTTAAAAGTTCATGGAAAATATGTATGATATAAAACTATTCATGGATTTGAAAACTGTTAGCACCAAAACAAACTTGTACTTTAATTTTCTATGAAATTTTTGAAGTTTCCTCATACACTAGGTATTAAAGGATAAATAAAACAAAAATAAAAAACTAACTCCAACCCTCAAATATCTCAAGAACTAGTCCACTATATTTTTCTAATTACTATTCACTTTTACTTTTACCTACCTACCCATGTACAATTTAAAAATATATATCTATCCATAAAATATTTGCATGTCTATGCATATATCTAACTTATATCTAAAAGGTATATATATGTGAGTACATAAAAGGTAGAATTTATTCTTCTTGAAGGCATTGATTTATTTATATCTCTTTTCATCACAGAACTAGAATAAGGCCTAAGGAGCTACAGAATAGTAGTGATAGATGAAGCACATTAGTTGGCCCATATCAAAATTCATGAATGCAAAGATATTCATTTGACTACAGATAAACTCTGAAATATGAAGGGTAACATTCATTCTCTGTTATTTCAGCAGCTTAGATTTATTTTCTAACTTACAATATTCATATTTGCTTCAGGGTTCCCAGATTTTCTCTTTCGAAAGACATCATGAGTAGTTCCAATAATTAAGATGAAATACATCACTGTGAGAAGGCACCACATTTCAGATCTACATATAAAAGGGTGATGTTTATACTACTACAATTGCAGCAAATATGCCTATTTATATAATAAAACTGTAGCAGGTAATTCTATGAGGTAGGGAAGCTTACTATTTTCTGATGAGAAAATAGAAGCTCCAAAGAATTAAATAACTTGGGTAAAGATACACAATGTATAATTGGCAGTCAGAATTCTGATTTGGAATGCTTAATTTCATAGTTCATGTTTTTCCAACTACCCTATTTAGTAGCACAAACTCTTTTTGAAGTCTCCATTATAAGACTGTTCAGCCTAATTATGAGTTTCATCATATATTGCAAGTTAATTGATATCTGAATTAATAATGTAATAGTATTCTTACCAGATTAACATTTATTTATAGTATGTTTACTTTAAATGTCAGGGGGACAGATATGGAAGATTGAATAACTTCCATTCAGTTTTCCAGGATCTGGATTTTAATTTGTTTACAAAACGGGTTTTGAGGCTTTTAAATTCTAGGAAGCCAAAATACTTTAATTCTTTCTAGAAAAATAAGAAACCAGGGAACTAGAGGCTGCCAAACATTCTCCCCCCAAAAGCATGACTTGCAAATCTCATGAGCCTTGTACATACAAGCCATGTGCTTACCAAGGGCATTATATAGGGATGTTAAAACCCCTATCTTCACCACTTACTAGTTAGGTGACTTAGAACGGGTTAGTAACCTCTCTGAACATTAATTTCTCTATGTATAACGTGAATAATACCCATATCTCAAAGGTGTTACAAACCTAAATTTTATCAATGTGATATGATCTTTTATTAGTATAGTATCTGTCACATAGCCAATATTAATATGTATTAGTCCTCTTGACTTAAGAGAAAAAAACTACCTACTATCAATTGAGGAACATAATTTACATGCACATAATTGACATCTTTCTGACATATTTATTTGGCTAGTTTTCAATGCAATGTTTTCACAAGCTTAATACAAATTATATAGCTCTTCAAGTTTTTAACTGCATTTCTTTTGCAAAAAACACTTTCTTACATACAGTTTAATTTATGAAAATTGTCCTTCTCTTCTCCCCTTTGGTCCAGATATATATTTGGTATGGTATTTCTAGTTTTTATTGACATCAACAAGCAAACTTAGTTTACCAAGATTTCCTATTAAAAGAGAGAGAGAGAGAGAAAGGTGTTAATTTAAGAGCATAAAGGAAAACTTTATATCATTTTGAATCACATTCTAGATATTCTTCCTTGGTCATGTTTTCGAAAAGTCCTTATCGGGCAGAAAGGTTGTTCAGAACTCTGCCCTCACTGGCTGTTTCAGCAAAGCACACGGAATAGCATGGGAAGGAATATTTCCTCTCTACTAACTGGTTTTGTAGCCAACTACAACTCATTGGCTCCATGAGGTCTTAAAGAAATTTGCACTATATCTAGAAGGAATATATAGAATATCATTTAAAACAAGACACTTTTGAAAATGAAATCCTATCAATAACTAACTTGGGAAAACAGGCATAAACTGGACTGTTCTAGGCATGTGGGCTATGCCTGCCCAATATACAGCCATAAATATTTCCCTGAATTTTGGTATTTTTGTACTTAGAAAATTCAAAAGCATGAACCCTTGACATACAGTTGTCAGTGTTCCTAATAGCCACCAATGGAAAATGTTTAAACTGAATAGACTTATCAACTGTGCAAAGCAACTAGCAAAAAAGTTCACTAAAATCTAGATCTATGCTGTTCAATACATGGCCATTGAGCATTTGAAATATGGTTAGTGAAGTACTGAAATTTTAATTTTATTTAAATTAATTTTAATTTTTAAAACATTATTTATTTAATTTTATTTATTCATTCATTTTATTTTAATTTGACCAGAGAGACACACAGAGAGAGAGAGAGAGAGAAAGGGAAAGTTAGAAAGCAAGCCATCAAGTTTAGAACTTGAACCATGGTTGGCCATGTGGGAGTGTCCAGCACCTTTACCACCACGCAATCTGTTGGTCCCTAAATTAATCTTAATTTAAAAACTAAAATAGTTTAAAACATTTTTGTGTTAAACATAACTTCTTTGGGACTCTTCTGTTCTGTAGCCTGTTGGTTAAGAGAGATGGATCTTGCATAGCCATCTGTACAGTTCTAATCCTGGCCCAGACAACTTGAAAGATACATGAGGCACATGTTTGTGCCCGCCCAAGGTTACAACAGAATGAAGAGATGGAGCAAAAGTGATCGCAGTGTGACCGTGGCTCATGGGCTGAGGGTGGGAGGTGAGGGAGTTTGGAAAAGCATCTTTCTCCGTCTTTTTATCACTCCTTGGTGAACATATGCACCTTCTTGCAAAATAACACAAATATGTTTTTATTTCTCCCATCTTATAAACAAAACAAAACTTCATTTTCCCTGCCAGTTACTACCACATTTCTTTGTTGTGTTATCTTTATTAGCAAAAGAGTTGTCTAGATGGACTGTTTTAAAGCTGTATCTTCCTTTTTCTTAAACCAACTCCAATCATATTTTTATTCCCAGCACTTCAATGAGTCGAGGTCACCAACTACTTGTTAAATTTGGCATTTCAATATTGGCAAGCCTCAGGACTTTTACTTGATCTATTGGCAGCATTTGACAAAATTGATCATTCCCTTTTAAATATACTTTATTCTCTTATAAGACACCACATTCTTGGCTTCCCTTCTACCATATTTGTTACTCTTTGTCAGACATCTTTTTTGACTTCTTATCTTCCAACTTTTATCTTCTTCGTTTTTTTTTTTTCCATTCCTTCCAACTTCTTAATGCAGGAGTGCCATAGGGTTCAATCTTTTATCTTTCTATTTTCTTTAGCAAGGGTTATTCTACTAGCGATGCTATATAACCTCATGGCTTTAAACAGAATCTTCATGGTTACTTATCCTAAATTAATATCTCTAATCCATGTTCTCACCTGAATTCTAGATCTCTATACCCAACAAATTACCTAACTGATGTTTCTTGGTTGTCTTATAGCTCAGTTTATAAAAAATTGCATACTGTCTCTCATCCTACTACACTCCATGTCTGCCATATCTTGCTCTATTTTCTCCCATAGAATTTATCAAAATACAAAAATGCCAGTTTACCATTGTATTATACTTACTGTTTCTTGTCTATCTCCCATGCTAGAATGTAAACTTCACACAGCAGGAA